CCCCCCCCCCCCCCGCGCGAGGTCACGTTGGAAAACAAGCCCCCCCCTCCCACACACACACAATGTTTGCCATCGGGGTTGGGTTTTCGTCGCTTGGCAGCGACGTTGTAAAACAAGCCGATCACTTCGTGAGCTCGGCAACCAGGTTACCGCTTTATTTTTTGCCTCTTTCTTTTCTTCGGTACCCATGAATGATGGTCGAGTAGATTATATTGTGCGGGGTTGAGAAACCTCACTCCGCGCAAAGGGGATGATCGCACCACGTTGTGTTAAATTGATCAAGCATCCTCGAGGCAGTTACACAGTGCTTACAGCTGTCTGGGGAAGTGAAAGCACCAGAAAAAAAATGAAGTCATACTTCCTCTGCCACATAAGTAAAGTCCGTTATGAGGGAATTTACATACCTCACCAGCCAAGGTGTTCCTGAAGCTGTAGTTAGGTTTGTTGGAAAGCGCTTGTTACGCACATAACTTAAAAAAAAAAAAAAATCCGACTCATAATTACTGAGAAGTAGTGTGTCAAATACGGGACTACTTTGCGAATATTTTGGGAATATCTTGAAAACATTTTGAGAATATTTTAAAGAATATTTGCAGCTTTGTGCTGTGTGAGCACCCACTACCACCACAACGACGTAGCTATCATGGGGGACGACGCCCAGACACCCCCACGTCGTAAGCGGGGTGCGGAAGTATCGTTGGGTCGTCGGTACGCCATGGCGGTGGAGATAGCGTTGGCGATTCCGCCGGGCAAAGAAAGGGTACCCAAGGGCTTTCTAGGCCCCCTCGCCGAGCGGTACGGAGTTGGTAGTGAATACCCCAGAAAACATTGGGCGGACGCGACATGGGTCGTTGAGTACAAGGGGGGGGTAGGGTTAGGACCCTACGCCTGTCGGCTTTGCCCCGCAAGTAACTTGATTTTAGTGTGGCCCCCCCAAGTGTCTTGGTTTTAGTGTGGGCCTCGAAAATGTCTTGATTTTAGTGTGGGTTCACTACTATGTTGGTTTTTGTATGGGAGGACGCGAAATGGATCGTTCAGTAGAGGTAACCTTGGGTTTAGGGTTCGGGATAATTCTTGTCTTTTTTTGGTATGTTTCGTTTCGTGCCCCCACCCCCACCCTCATGGAAAGGGGCAAAATACGGCCTTTTTTGGCCTGACTACTTTTTTGTAAGCCGCTAGTGCATGCAGGGTAGTGCGCAAGAAAAAAAAAGAAATATGGGTTTCAACCCGAAAAACGCTCAAGATTTCAAAAAAAGTATCGCCTAAGACATCGGACACGGCTAAATGGCCGTGTAATCATAACGGACTTTACTTATGTGACAGAGGAAGTACGCACGCAGTTGTCATCCGTGCGCAAGGGGGTACGCACAAGATGCCGAACGCCCTTCGCAGGAAGCAGCGCACCCTTCATGCGACTCGCCGAATACCTCACGGCGCTTTGCGCTTGGTGATGTGAGAGCCTGGTCCGGTGAGAACCCGGCGTGCTCCGTCCCGACTCTGGGAATGCGAGGTCAATGGTTTAACAAATGCGGCATGCACGACTATGAGTACACCCCACCCCCTCCACCCCTGCTTCGCTTGAATGTGGAACNACCCTTAGCAGGATGCAGCGCACCCTTCATGCGACTCGCCGAATATCTCACGGCGCTTCGCGCTTGGTGATGTGAGAGCCTGGTCCGGTGAGAACCCGGCGTGCTCCGTCCCGACTCTGGGAATGCGAGGTCAATGGTTTAACAAATGCGGCATGCACGACTATGAGTACACCCCACCCCCTCCACCCCTGCTTCGCTTGAATGTGGAACACCTGTTGGAAATGTATCCCGACCAGGTCTTGTATCAGG